CCTTCGCGAATTCTATCCTTTATCATTTTTTAGATCAAATATAGCACAAAATAAAATATGTGTTCTCTGAGTAACATCTTAAATCTAATGTTTTTTTTCAAAATGTCACAAGAAGAAATTAGTTTTTCAAATAAAGTAGATACATAATAGATAAATAATTGTAAGATGGACAATTAAAAATCATAACACTTTGTTTTTTAAATTTAAAATTCTGAATAAGAACATGAAAAAGAAAATAGCAAAATTTTCGTGACAAATAGTGATAGTTGAGATTGAGAGCTGTGTTTCACAAATTCTTTTTCTTGATTTTCTTCTCCTCCAAATTTGGGGCTTCCCATGAAAAAAAGACGTTGGGAACACGTGTCAATGGGTAATTAATCTAAAACCATTCCAATCAGAAACAACCCATTAAGGCAAGCCACGTGGAAACACGATACTTCCTTAAAATAGGCAAAGTGAGGAAGGGGGTGAAGATGTAATTTCACGGAAAAATAAATATTCCCAGCTGGCGCCAGAAGCCATGCTGAGAGTACACAATATTGTGCAGTCGCCATCCTGAACCAACGGATAGACAGAAGAATAAATCGGACTGCTTAAAACAATTACGCGCGTGGCGAGTATTATTCCGACAGTTAGAGCTTTTTGGTATTTTTGCTTTTCTTAATCGTGAAGATCATAGCCACCTTCCCATATTTGATTGCCGTCTGACTTCATCTGTGACTTCTTCAAATTAGTGCTATTAAATTCCTCCTCACGTGAGGAATCTTAAAACATCCCTAATAAGCTATTACCTCAACTACTGCCATCTTATTTTGCCAAATGATTAACTCAAAAAATGAGTAGAGAAAGTAAATTAAACTTACCTTGAAACTTTATTAGTAGGAGCGTAATTGGTCCGGGTCAAATTCGAAGTTCGTTTTTTCTTTTTACTTTTTTCTTATCTTTATTTTTAATCCCTCGCATATTTTCCTTTCTTCTTCTTCTCCTTCTGAACCTAGAGTTTTTTTTTTCTTTCCTAATAACAGACCCCATTCCTTGTTTCGAGCACTAGATTCTCCATTCCAACAACTTCCACACCACACCTGCATCTCCATCACCATTGTTATCTTCATGGTTATTACCTTTCTTCACTGTACTCAAAATCCTACTTAAGCAGTTTGCTAGAGATACATTTCTCTAAGGATACTACCAATATTACGACAGTGGAGCATATCAATAACTATGAGGTTTCGTTTCAAAGCCAATTAAAAATGAGAGGAGTAGTATCTAAAAAGAGTAGTTTTACATGTTTAGTTGGGAGTTAATTATGATGGAAAATGTATGTTAATGCATATAATTCATGGAAAATGTGCATATTTCGTTATTAAGGACTTAAGCAAGTAGTTAGAAGCAAATAGAGGCTAATTGATGAAAATTTGTTTATTTTGTAAGGAAAATTGAAAATTGATGACTACAATGCGTCAGACACATCGTACGCAAAGTATTTCTAGATTATTAGAGGGATGCGCCAGCCAATTGCTTTGGATATTCCAGCTTCTTCAGCAACATTTGATGTCCAGCTTTTGACCAAGTAATTGGTCCAAGATTTGTTATTAGTTCCTAAAATCTCTACAACCTCATTTGGTTCCAACTTCCCATGCATTTTTCAACATCTTGTTACCTCTATGGCATAAAAGGAGCTTTCAAGCATCACTTCAAGACATCTCGTTTCCATGCTTTGCTTTTTCTTTCTAAATTCTTGTCAATTTTAGCTTTTAAGTTTTGTTATTCCTTTATTGTTTTTACAATTATTTCTTGCTTATTTTATCGCAATTTTAGTTACTCTAATTTGTGTTCTTATTTCCCGATTCAATGAAAATGGATTCTTTTGTTATCTTCGTTTTCTATTGCATTTATTTTGATTCCATGAGTAGTTAAATTAAATTTTCAACCCTCCTATGAATGATTTAGTTCATCTATTTTAAATTATATCTATCAGTGAACACGGCGTATTACGCTCTCTTTGCTTATCTTGATTGATACAATTTATCCAGTTGATTTTCTTGTTAGCCACTTGTTTAAATCACATTAGTTTGAATTTAATTTCGAAAAGGTTAGAGTCAAACGGAGCTCATCAAGTTAAAATGGAAAGTTACTTAGAAATAAGAACTAAAACAAGATCCTAGACATAGGCTCTCTTACCCGTTAAACGTAAGTTGGAACTTGATTTATTTAGGATTCTAGAGTTGCATAGATATATGTAAATACTAGCCTAAGTTTCTACAAACCAAAAGCGGTATGGAATAGAAGTTGAACCAGTTTGCATAAATTGAGTTTAATTACGGGCACACTTGATAGGTGTAATTCATCTTTTAGAACTAAATCTTGGTAGGGGTTGGCTTTTTAATCGTTGTGTTTTTAAATTGTGTTTCCGAACATATTCACCAAATTTTTATCTCAAACCCGATTGCTCATTCAAGCAATTTACAAAATCAATGTTAAAAGTTTATAACTAGTCTCTGTGGAGACGAACTTGGAACATTTCCAGATTATTACTTGTGACAGTGTGCACTTGCACTTACCCTCGTGCTATTAAGTAGAGGCGCAACATATGTCTTTTTTTTTCCAATGTGGGATATTTAACAGAGCTAATAGTGTACTTTATAAGCCACATTTCATGATATTTAAGTGAAATCATTTGACAATTTTCGGTTGTTCATGACATATTCACGTACATAACTTATATTTTTGCAAGAATGAGCCATTAGAATAAACTTGAAATTTTAGTGATCTTAATTGAGAGAAAATTGGAGTTGTATGTAAGGAAGCTTAATTTCTGCTAAAGAAGCATCACGGCGTACCATATAGCGCCATGGCGCCTGTAGGTCATAAATTGGAGCAAAAAACCAAAGAAGAAGTGTCGGACTACCATCACATAGCGCCATGGCGTTTGACGAAACTTGGGCCTTATTTTGTAATAGCAACGCCACAAAACGCTGTCATGTAGTGCCATGGTGCTACAAACTTTGCGCATCCGTGATAATTTCAGGATAGCACCATGGCGCTCACTAATAGCGTAATGGTGTTGCAACGATGCCCCTTTCTTAAATAAAGGATTTGTGCGCTGTTTAAAGGGATTTTTGGAGAATTTTCAATTAGAGAACATCGGTTCGAGAGAGTAGGACGACGACTCAAGCTTGGTGAGCGAGGAGACTATTTTTCAAAGCTCGGGATCATGGAGATTGAGTCAGGGATGACGAATCGATATAACACATTGAATTTCTTTCATTTCCCTTAGCTTTACTCATTTGATGATGAACTTCTCATTGAGATTTTGTTGTACTTTCATGAACATGAGTAGCAAAATTTCTTGTCCTAAAGATTGAAGTAGCAAAACCCCACGGTTGTTTCTCTAAATAAAATCAAGAATTAATAATTGTGGTATGGAGGACGATATCAATATTTATTTACCATTTTCATTAAAACTTGACACGTACACTTGTGTGGTAAGCAATTTCTGTGACTAGAGCCGAGAGTAACAGACGCTACTTCCGACGTCGTGAATTTTGATAGACGGCCTATTCTTTTATTTATTTATTTCTGGCAATTCTATCAAAACGTGGGAATTTCAAGATGTTGAATATTCTACATCTCTTGAGAACAAAGGTATGTCTATCTTGTGAAAATATAATATTGAATCTCCACGATGCAAATTGTATTGTTATATTTTTTTCATTTAGTTTGAATTATATTTTACCAAAATGAACATAGCTCAGCGCTAATTAAGAATATTATAATATTGAATTACAAAAGTATGCCCTTCTCACACATAATGACAAAGTACCTGCCACGTGGCAATTCACTGCAACGGTTCCCTATCATGAGCACACTATTTTCAACAAATTAACTCATTTATTTAAAAGAATATAAAAAACTCCTTTTTAAATTCAACAAACTGACAATTGAGATCCTAGTCAGGGGGTGACTTTTGTAATTTCTCCCATGTAAATAAAGAAATGTAAACGAATAAGAAATTAAGATAAAAAGATATCATTGAATAAATATATGTTGGTGTAAGAAAGAGCAATCCCTAATTAAGATTAACTCTCTTTCAAACCGTTGTTTGTGCCATCGACTTCAATATATCTCTCCGGCGCCTCCATGGACGGTCAGTGTGCGTCGGCCGCCGCCATAGTCACAGATGACCACGACCTCCAGCGTCAGATCCTGCAGTGCCCTTCTCCGGCACCGATTAACACGGACTTCATCAAATTCGAAGGTCCTAATTCTCCCACGTGGCTGCACGAGATACTCTCCGACGACGGCGCGTACGCGACACTGGACCCCTTAGTAACAAGCCCCCAGTATGCTTGTTTGATTCCCGACGGTGCGCGATATCAGTGTGCGACGGTGGGCGCCGCCACAGTCATCCAGCTTCCTCCTTTTCCGTCCAAAAGCTGGGATTCTATTGGTGGCTTCGATGTCGGGACTGAGACAGCGACAGATGGAATGCATTTTTCTCCTCTTCCGACGGACTTCTTCGACTTCGACAATCCGCCGGAGATATCCCAGCTGGACGACCCGCAGCATACCGGTTTGCTTTCTGATGTCGTCAATTTTGACTCGGCGCTGGATTTCCCGGGCAGACCAGAAGCTGAGCCCCGACCGGAACCCGAACCCGAACCCGAACCCAATTTGGCAGAGGGGAAGAGGAAGAAGAAGCTTAGATTTTGGACCAAGAATGAACACATGTACATATTCACAAGTCAAATCTATTGACTTGGTCTTTTTTTCTTTTACTTTTTTTTGTTATTTTATTCAAATGATTCTTTATTGCTTTCCTCCGCGCAGTACCCCTACATTCCCTGATGCAAAATTATATCTTGAATTTCGAGATTTTTCATTTTGATTCAACGAAAAAAATAGGCTTTAATTTGTTTTCTGTTTTCGCATGTGTATTTTGGTAGTATTTATATTATATTTTAAGAAAATGTAGGTTATTTGTGATCGGGATTCAGATGTATGGAAAAGGAAATTGGAAAGATATTGCAACAAAATTGGTGATCACAAAAACTTCCACACAGGTGGCAAGCCATGCCCAAAAGTACTATGACTATCACCAAAACCCTAACCCTAATTTAAGACAGAAAAATGGAAAGAGTGGCAGGGCCAAGTCCAGTATTTTCGACATCACCACCGTAGATCCCCACTCCAAGGCGCGCTTGCTTCACGGTCATGCGCCCATTGTTCAACCACCTTCGCCGCCTCAACAATTTACCATTACCAATTACTATCCTCCACCTCACCAACCAAGCTAGGTTTATCAACTCCGACGTGTACAATCAGATTCTTCATTGTTCTTCCACTCCATCCTAATTCCAAACCTCAAACATTAAAAATCTATCCGAGAGTTCTTTTAAAAAAATTAGGTTTATTCAACCATTACAGGGGATCTTTTACCCACTTCTGGTGGAGTGACATGAGATAAGTCTAAAATAGAGAGAGAATGAACATCTATGAAAAAGCTTAGATAAGGGACTATCAAGACTCGGAATCTTGGAGATTAGCTCGAGGACGATCCATCGACACATGGACCTTAGTTTTTCTTTTTTCTTAGTTTTATTATGGAACTTTCTTTGGGTTTTTGTTGTTTTACATTGAATATGAGTATAACTAAGTTTCTTTGTCATTAAACAGCTTTAAGAATTGATTGTTTAATTATCTGGATTGAATGAATATGAATCTTCCACATATATGTTTCTCTATGTGCTTAATGCTTTAATTTTAATCCACCTTAGATTGATTGATATTAGACTAGAAATCTTATGCTCTTTCTTCCCTAGGACTTGTATTCCCATTGATTTTCTTTTTTCTATTGCATGTTTAATTACTTGCTTTCATTCTCTCGTTCGATCTTGATTTTCTAAATACAATTGAACGATGATATTTGTTTGAGTGAACTAGAAACTCAATCCAAAGGACAAAAATATATCGATATTTTTGCTACATTGATCAATGGTTTCTTTTTATTTGGAAAGAGTGGCAGATGATTATAAATTTATTTCTCATACTACGACTTAACAAGTTAGCAACAGTTAAGGGGATGTATATTAAACTGTTGACCACTTCTGACACCAAAAAAATATTAAACTGTTGATGCCGATTTATGGGCAAGTGCTCTACATCAGTGTCTATAGGTGCCACAAATACCATCTCTCCAAGATCAAAAGGTTTCTAATTTCTTTCCCAAATTTCTAAGAAATTGGTAGAAATTTCATCATTTTTTTTCTCATTTCAACTCCAATGACAACTCAATAGCTAGATAGGTAGTATGCCTATGTAAGCTTTCTTTATATTCACCAAAGAAACGGGTATGTGTAATTGAAAATTCTTAGAGAACGTAAAAAACTAAATTAATTTTTTTTTAAAACAACTGCAATTAAATTGAAAACCCCTCAAAAATTAGAGATTCAAATATATATTTAACCCAGAAGTGTTTTGAATGAATTATATCAATAGGATGGAGGTAATTTATAATTTCTTTTAGTAAGGTACGGTGTTCTAATCTTGTATTTAATTACTTTTACGAGTAAATTGACACTCATAATCCCAAATGCTCAAAAATTAGACTAAGAAGCATCAAACACAGAGAAACAAAACTAATTATCCTATAAAAATATAACTATGAAATTGCTAGAAAATCGAGCAGATAAGGTCTATATGCATCACAACCACAACCATATCCTTAAAAGTCTCCTATCCTCTTTTGTAATTACAATATTGTATATATTTTTTTAAATTGGAGTATCAATGAAGTGGTACCTCTTTTCCAAAAACAAAAACAAATATCCTTAAAGCAGATTTTGAGCATCAAGAGACATCTGTCTCTTAGGATATAATAACTATGCTAATGGCAAAGATAGCACATGAAAGGAGGGATGAGTAATCTCCTATGTTGTGATTGGGCCTTTCCATCTGGGCTTCCACTTTAAGTTTATCGCAGGCTCGTAGTTCTATTTTTTATTTTTTATTTTGGGGTCTCCTGTGTTGATCCTTGTTTCATTGGGGTTCTTTTTTTTTTTTTGGAAGAACGGAGAGAAAAGCTCCATTTGAAGCACCAAAGAAAGTAAAAGAAACAAATCGAGAGATTAAGAAGAACAGAAACAGAAAAACAGAAAATATACACACATATATATTATATTGTTAACAAGGAGATGTGAACCAAAATAGGAAAAGATTAGAAAGGTACCGCTGTAATTTTGAGATACGATGAGTTCCTCCGGTGAAGCAAAATTTAGAGAGAAAATGGAAGATGGGGAAGGGACAAAGTCAACGTGGTGGAAACAAACTGATAAGAGGGAGAGGAAGATCAATACATAATATCATAATATCATAACACCAATCATTTCTCCATCTCTTTCCATGAACAATATTATATTTTTTACGCCTAATTTCACCCTTAAACTACTGGGGGTTGTTGCAAAAATTAAATCCTTAATCAGAGAATATTTTTGCTAGAAGCTAGAGCTCACGCCGGCAACCGACGCCTCTAACTTATTTAATTGTTAAAATTATGGCACTATCATTGGAACAGTGTTTTAACTTTGGGTCAACACTTTCTCTAGTTCTACCATCTCTAACCCTCTCTTCTCCTCCCTCCCATGGCTTCCTCCTCTCTTCGATCTTTAATAACCTTTCTTGAGCAATAGTTTAATGAGTTAAAAGACCATATATTATCGACTAGAAAGGTCGAAAGGTTGTAGGTTCAACTTGAACACATCTGAACTGATTAAAACACTATCTTAATACGATGTAATTTTAATATATATATATATATATATGTGGGGTTAAAACTAACCTACATGCTTAAATTTTATTTCATTAAAAAAAAGGACTATATACTTGATAATCTTAGTTTTTGTCAACATGAGCATAACTTGGCAAAATTTCAGCTATATGAACTAGAATAGCTACTCCCGACAGGTCCATCTTGGTCTCAACATGTTCAACCTCTGGTTGGATTMCTTGTCAAGTACCCAAACCTATAAATAAGATACTTCACTCTTAAGTCAGGTATCATATTCTTGCTCGATCTCCATACTAAGGTTGAACTTAAAACTGACTTGAACGTCGGAGTATTTGTACTCTAGTCAGCGTAACTTACCTCTTGAGCTCGTCATTCCTTCCCAAAGACACTTAAGCTCTCCTAGCGTTTATACCTCTATCGATTTTTTTTTGCATAAACACATACTTTGTTTATATATGTATATGAATGCACTATAATTTTGTGTTTTTGTGACTTTGATGTACAATACTTCTTCTTATTCTTTTGCGTTTTTTAATGTTATTAAATTCATCTTACGTGAATTTTTTTTAAGTATAAAAAAGTTGTTCTTCGTGACGTTTTATAACCATTAAAAAAGCCTCAATTTTTCGTGACTTTTTAAACCGTCACGAATTCTACTTTTCGTGACGTTTAAAATAAACATCATGAATACCTCTCATGAATGGGGCATAGGTGGCGTCAAAAATTTTTTTACGAAATTATGACGTTCAAAACCCGAATTCTTACTAGTGATATATTAGTTAAAGTAAACATTGAGAGATACTTCAAGAGAGAAGTTTTTCAATAATAAAAATATATAGTTACTTATGTTTAGGGTACTAATTAAATAGACAGTTCAAGAGAGAAGTTTTTCAATAAAAAAAATAATATAATCTAAAAAATAGAATTATAGTAATTTAAACTAAATCACGAAGAAATATCATGATTTGAACATACTTTTGGGTTTTCAAGGATGGTAGAGTGGTTAAATACACGAAAGAGTCAAGAGTCATTAAATAAGACCAAAATGAACAAGTGTAATTAATGATGCGAAAGCATGTGTATAAGACATTAAAAGTGAATGGGTCCGCCTAACTGAATTTATTTTTCAATAAAATCCTTAAAAAGTAGTGTTTCATGAAATTGTGAAAGGGCAGAGGATTATAATATAGGTATACCGAGCTGGCTTAGCATTATTAATTATGGACAATCCCACTCGTCTGAAAAGGAGCTGGAAAATGACCAAATTAAACCCTTTGATTATTGAGTCCACACCCTCATCTCTCTCTGTCCTTCACTCTAAAATCCCTCTCCGGTGACGAACCAGACCCACGGCGGCGGCACAGAGAGATCCAGGCGCAACACCACGGCGGCGGTGTAGATCAAGGCGTGAGAGTGAGACCCACAAGACAGTAATTTCTCCCCTCATGCCTCAACGTCGCCACTACCTTAATTACCTCAAAAACTACATTTCGGCACCGATATTGCTGTCTCGGTAAGGATAGTTTTAAACCCTCTATTAAGGATTTGTTTGCTTTTTATGCTTGCTTATTTAAGTACCCTGCCAAGTGTTATGAATTATGATTCTGTTTATTTTACAACTATTGCTACTAAAAATTCATATTTATGAATTACCTAAGTTGCATATACTTGTGCCTTCTTCATGGTTATGAAACTCGATTACATCATCATGCTCAAAGTCTAAAATTCGATCAAAGTTCAGTCTAGATTTGATCCAAGTCCGGTTCAAGGTCAAAATTTGACGGATCCGACCTTTCTATAAATTAGATCGAGTATGAATTTTGGATGGACTTATTTGAGCCCTATTTACATCTTACCTGTTGAGATGGCTCAAGAGCCCAGTTAAGTATAATGAAATATAATAAAATATGGTATATTATTGATAATATATTAATATACAAGTAGTTAGCCTTTAGTTTTATTCTTATTTTTATTTACATTCCTCAATTAGATTTAATTTTCAAAAGGTAACAAAATTTGAAACCTTAAGAATTACTGAAATTTTAAGAACTAAAATATACACTTTCACTTCAAAAGTTTGTAGATTGAAATATAATAATCCTACAAGTTAACCAAAATTAGATTCAAGGTTTCTCTATTTTTTAATTACAAAAAATAAAATATTTACCAAATTTATAATTTTATTTTTTCTATTAGAAAAATCTAATATAAATTTTTATTTTACGAGTACTATTTTCAAACTTCGCAGTCATATCAATGTTTTAAAAATGTATTATAGAGAATGTAAAGATAGAGAGGATAAGACCGTGAGAGAACAGAGATAAAAGAGGGGAAAGAAAAACTTCTGGAAAAGAGAAATTTAAATAGAGAATTTCAGTGAAATTGAAAAAGGGAGATTCAGCTTTTTTTAAAAAAAATTATTGGCAATTTTAAAATTTTAATTAGAAAACTCTTATTGGCATAAAACTTTAAAATTAATTGATAAATGATGATGTAAGATATAAATAAATAAACCTTAAACGCAAGTGGTATTTCGTTTTTTATTTTTTTATTTTTTTTTTAAAGGATTTGTGGTTGGTTTCGATCATTTTGGAGTTGGATATTGAACATTTTATGGGTATTGGTTTTTCTATGTTTTCGATACTTTTTAGTAGGATTAGCATTTTTTATATATTTCCTATATTTGTTTTGTTTTATTAAAATGATAACTAAATACGTTGTGATAACTACTTCAAGTCTTTGTGAAAAATCCAACAACATTATTTTTTGCTTTTCTGTCAAAAAATAAAAAATAAAAATAAAAGAGAACTAACTTTTGAATAATGATTTTTTATGGACTATACATAGAATAATTGAGTGAAAATGATAATATCAAAAGTTCAAACTTATACTATCTTTTTAAATCCCTACCCTGCCTATAATACAAAAAATTATTTTCATTTGGATAAAGATAGAAAATTTTAATTGAACTAATTTTATTTTAATAATTATTTTTATCAAAATATAATTTTATTTTTTGATTATAAAAAATAAAAAAACACTTTGTAAGAATAATTTTTAAACCTTTTATGATTATAAAATATTGGAGAGAGGGTAACATAGACTATAGAGAGTCAAAAAGGTTATGGAGATAAGAATGAAGAAATTAGAAAGTAGATAAAAGGTCGAATCTTTACCTTGTTTATAATACTTTTTTTTAAATGACTTAAAAAAATAAATACATAAAAGATGAAATTGAAGATTTAAAAAGAATAGGGACCAAATTGAAAAGAAAAAAAAAAGACTCAAATACTATAGACTGAATTATATATTTATCGAGGAAAAAAAAAGAGATTTATTTCTTTAAAATCTATAATTTTTTTTCTTTCTTTTTTAAAATGTGTTTACCATATAAATTTCAAAAGAACCAAAGAAGACTGGGTTAGCAAACAAATATGTTTTGGCATAATAATTTAATTCACTACTAGAGTTAACATACACGTTATGTTAATTATAAATTTAGTCTTTTATGGTTTAAGAATATTTTCAATTTATCCATGAAATTTAAAATTTTTCAATATAATTTCCATAGTTTGGGACGTTTGAATTTTATCCCTATGATTTAGTCTAACATTAATCATCAATATTATTACAATATAGAATACATGGCCGTTTTTTTTTAAATTTAAGCCAATGAATGGATGTAATCTATTTGACTAACTTTGTTAATGGGCTGTCTGGAAAAGCTTTGTTAATATAGGTTGAATTAAAGTTTAAGACTAATAATAAAAAGAAAATGAACTAATTTACATGTGGGTAGAGATAGTTTAAATACCCTCTATAAAGTTTAATCAAATCATAGAGACTAAATTATAATTTTTAAAATTATAGGGACGAATGAAATATAAGAATTAGATTGAATCTTTCAAAATTATACTTGTATTTCAACACGTGATTCACACGTTATATTTTAAAATTTTCAATCCAAACAAATTATATGAATGTGGGAATAACGGATGGAAGGAAGATGACAAAGCTTAGTTCAAATATGTATATAAATTACACAATCTTTTATAGTTTTAATCTTATCTTTTTCTCCTAAATTCTTATGATTAAGAGAGTATATATTAAAGTTTAGAATAAAAAATTTGGATGTGAGAATGTGAACAAAGGTTAAGCATAAGTTTTTATATTTATTTTATTTTTCTATTAAATTCTTTAACATTATTTATTGTGTGCATGAAGTTGACTTAATATTTATGATAAATTTTATTAAAAAAGCATAAATTCTTAATGAAATTGAGATTATTATGGGAGTAATATTATTATTACGGATCAATGATACTTCTTTTTCAATCGTAAAGTAGCTTCGAAATATTTAAACGAAAGATATGTACTTTGTTTGAAATTTTAGAAAAAAGAAAGAAACTGAAGGAGGAAAAAAGTAGCACTAAACAAGAATGTACAAATTATTTATAGAAAAAAATAAAGAAATAGAGTTTTTATAGTTGTAGAAGTGAAAGAATTATAACGCTATTACGGTAGGATTTCAAAGG